TGTCTCTCTCTGTCTGTCTGGCGAGCGCTTGCACCCTATAGAAAAAATCTCCACCCTGTCCCCCCAAATAAGTGTCAATTGTCAGGACTGGCAGGTGGTGTGGTGCTTAAGGTGCTGGATTCCTACATGGTTGACCGCAGTTCGAGTCCCAGACCAGTGACTTGAAATTTGCCCGGTGCATGTGCATGCATGCCCCAAATCCCAGGAGGAAAATAGAGGAGAAGGGATTGCAGCGTGACCATTCCCCCAGGGCGTGTTTTCTTACCTCCTCTCTGTCTTTCTCTGCTAAGTGCATGTGCCTATGGCAAAAATCTCTCTTTTAAAAAAAAAAAAACAATTATGTATTTCATTCCATGTATGACTATTATTATCATTATTTCATTTGACCAGAGAGAGAGAAAGAGAAAGCGAGAAAGCAAGTTGTCAGGTCCAGGACTCGAACCACCGGCAGCCATGTGGGAGTCTAGTTACCACGCCACTTGCTGGCCCCACAAAAATCTCTCTACAAAACAAAAAAAGAAAAGTGTTGTTAAACTAGTCTGCAGATCGTTTTGTGAAGGCTTTATCAGAGCGTGAACATTGACGTGCACTCGTGTCTGAGGACGACACACGATTTCATAGGTTTTCCGTCTTCTCCCTGCCAGGAGCACAGCTGGGTAAGGCTGGAGCAGGGGGCTCTGTCCCCCACCAACCAGGGTAGTGAAGTGGGCAGCAGGGAGGGGTCCTCCAGGCCGGTGCTCAGCCAGGCGAGTGTTGGGTAGAGAAGGAGGAAGTTCCCAGGGGTGGGCAGGAAACCCCTGTCTGACCTTTGGCCTTTGTGACTACCCGGTAATTCCTGATTCCGGACCCTTCTCAGAGGACACTGGTGGGGGAAGGCGGGCTGGGGGCTGCTGTGATGCCCAACCAGCTATTGCGCCGGGTTGGGCAGGGTCCTCAGAGCCCCCCAGAGCAGGGCTGGGGAGGGGATCTTGGTTCATGGGGGAGACATAGAGGAGGGAACACAGGGTTATAGTTTGGGGTTCTGGGTTAAAGTCCCGGGTGATGCCAGCTGCCAGTTCGGTGACTTTGGATAAACTTATTCTGCTTGAGCCTCAGTTTTCTCCCATACAGAATGGAACTGACACGGGTCATTATGAAAAATGTAACCCGGTGCCTAGCACAGGTTCAGCAATAATAAAAGGCAGCATTTAAAAAAATAATAATTTATTTAGCTTTATTTATTTATTTTAATTGGCCCAAAGAGAGAGAGAGGGAAAATGAGAAAGCAAGCCACCGGGTCTGGGACTTGAACCCTAGTCAGCCTTGAGGGAGTCCAGCACCCTTAACCACAATGCCACCTGCCAGCTCCAATGGTAGAATTATTATTATTATTTTTTTAAGGATTCTTTATTTTGGGCCAGCAGATAGTGTAATGGCTATGTTGCTGGACTCCTATGTAGTTGACCGTGGTTCAAGTCCCGGACCTGGTGGCTTAAAGTCATGCCGGGTGCATGAACATTTGTGCCCAAGATCCCGAGAGGAAAATGGGGGAGAAGGGATTGCGGCGTGGCCATCTCCCCTGGGGGGTGATTTCTCGCTTTCTATCTCTCTGTCTGTCTCTGTCTGTCTGGCAAGCACACGTGCCCTATAGCAAAAACCTCTCAAAAAAAAAAAAAAAAATAACTCTTTAATTAATTAATTAATATTAAAGAATTGTTTAGTTTTAAAAATTTACTTAATTTTTAATTTGACCAGAGAGGGACAGAGCAAGAGAAAGAGAGAGAAATTGATAAAGCAAGTCACCAGGTCTGGGACTTGAACCGTGGTTGGCTTTGTGGGAATCTGGCTTCCTTAACCACCACACCACCTACCAGCCCTAAGAATGATTTAATTTATTATTATTATTTAATTTGCTATAGGGCACATTTGCTCACTAGAGAGAGAGAAGGAAAGTGAGAAAGCCAGCTGGCAGGACTGAGATTCAAACTGCAGTGAGCCATGTGGGAGTCCAGTGCTTTAACCACCACACCTGCCGGC